TTACGTTTATAAAAATAGATCTAATTGTCCGATTTTAATAAAATTTATCATGACCCTGGTATTTACTAATCCTAGTGGCGTAAGTAAGGAGAGGTTCAAACCCTTTTTATTTCCAAAATCACAGTTAGTAAATATTAGGTAATAATAAAAGTATTTATTACCGAAATATATTAAACCCGGTGGAGTACGATTGCGCGCGGCGCCGGAATAACAAAGAACATGCTTTTGACTATTCAAAAGCATACGATTGTGCGTGAAATTGGATGCGACATTGGCAACTTATTATTAAAATTAAACATAATTATTATTATTAAAAAAATTAAGAAGAAGAAGAAGAAGGGTTTTGATAGCACGGAACACTTTAGCATCATCAGCAAAAAGCAATGTATTTGAATTTATACCGTTATACCATTAATATAAATATTGAAAATGTATATAATATACATATATGAGTAATAGTTTTTAAATTTCTCATAATGCTTCCGACCAGAAAAAGGCTAGTCAAGAAAATAATAGTGATGATTGATCCTTTACGTTCAATTTTTCATATTCTACGCGATGGCATTCCGTTTGCGATTAGGTACGAGCGAACGAATCAGTTCAACGAAACTGCGTTCCCTCATCCGTAACATTATCGTCACGCGCGACACATTGTAATATCGTAACAGATTCAACGGTAGAAAATGCCATTATTAATTGTGATACCGTCGCCAAGCAAATACGAACGAACGTAAGACGGAATTCGGCATAAAATAATCGATTACCCAATGCTGTAGCGGGTGGCGGCCGAGACGTTGTGTGAATACGAGTGATGTGCGAGCAAAACGTTCTGTAACAGTAATAAGAAACGTGCACATAACGTCCTCAGCAGTAGCGTAATTGTGGAGGGGAAAGAAGGGGGTAAGTGCCCTCTATGTTAATTTTGAAAAGGTCGAAGGTATCATTTTACTCCTTCTTAGATAATCCAAAAATACAAATATTTGAATTATCATCAGTTAAGAAATAATGTAATAAATTATTTAACAAATTATAAGATAACTGAGGGAGCTTAGGATTTTGATAATAGTTAGTAAATTATTTCCCCCCCCCTAAATTTTTTCCCAGTTACGCCACTGGCCTCCGGGACGGATGTTCAGTGATTGCTGTCCTTGGTAGTCGGCAGAAATCCATCGGTTCGTCATCGATCGATCGCCGGTAATTATTTTTATTGCGTAAGTGTTCGGCGATTTTTTCGGCCATTGTCGTTGCGCATTACACGTCGAACGTTCGTAACACCGCCTCGAACAAGCGGACGGAGATCGTTAATCAAACAACAACCGCACGATTTTCAAACGTCGACGGCTGTAAAACGCAATTTCACTGCTGCGACCGAAATCGTCCGAAGTTACCATCGTGTTCGACGTCTTGCAGCAGCGTTTTTTTCTTCGTACCGCAAATTTTTTTCTTTTGCATCAGGTCGTAATTCAATATGCCACGTAGCGTTTGAAAATAATCACTGTTATAGTAAATCACTTTACGTTTTTGTAATACGTGCACTGTACTACATTAGTATTGCCTCTGCCATTCTAATTGCAATATGTAAAAATATGACGTGGAAAACCAAAATTAAAAACTTAAAAACCTGATATCTATATTGGACATGTGTGCGTAAGGTCAGGCTGAGCAAACGTTCTAAGCAAGTGTTTTCACCATCCTCAGAGCTACTACTTATTGACAATCCAACCAGTGTCCATTTGACTTTGATGTTGAATCTGCGTTTATTTTAAAGAGTTCTTTTGACCTATCGCCTTTGGGTTCGAGACCGGAGAAACATTTTCGATAATACTATAAACGAGTTACTGTGTATACGTGTATCGTATTACTGCGGATGTTTTGTGACATTTTTTGACAACCTTCTCAGTCACTACACTTTTAACCCTCTATGGTTGGTATAAACGGGTTTTTGATCCTATTTCAATGATTTCCTTTAAAATTATGATTTATTATTAATGCAATTGAAAAAAATATGTCAGTGTTAATCTTCTGCACGTTTTTTCTTTCGCATGAACTTACCATTGTATTTCAAATGCACCAACTCGTACGTTCGACTGCACATAATTACGTTGTAGTACATAAATAATACTTTTACTGCGCGCATAAATAACCCGTTTTCGTAAAATTATACTATTTATTCAAATAAGCGAAATATTAATATATACGAAACTGCTTTTAATATTTATCGTTTCTTACGCTAGAACACAGTTAAAGGCTTAGTATTATTCTACATTTTGACGTAAAATTATAGTCTCGATCTATTTGGCTGAACCGATGTCACATAGCCAATTCGCTAAAAATGTTGAGCGGATTTTCAGTGTTGGAAAACGCAAGTTGGGTCCGCCTGAATAGATTTTCGTCCAGTGAGAAAGAAGAAAATGACCGGTTATATATTCGAGGGTTCGAATTCGGTCCTGACCAATGATAGTTGTTGATTATGAGGCTGGAACAACAGTAGTCGGCGCACTTCTCGGGTCGTATTATGATGCAGTGGCGAATTCTCCAGAAATTCTCAGCATTCGCCGCATGCTTAGGAATAAAAATGTTATTTATCAAAATACAAAAATTATTGTATAATTAATAATATATTACGTATTTTAAAAGAACATAATGTAATGTAGTAACCGAGGTCACTACGTCATATCTTAAACTACTTTGTAACCTTACCTTGAATTGTTTTCCTTGTGCGTTGTCGAAAACAACTAGATTTTAAAATACTTTTATATTTAGAAACGGGTTAGTTATTAGTTATTATATTAAATGGGTACATTAGATAGTAAGAATATTAATATTATTTTTGTTATATAACTAACAAGTTAAACGGGTATAGTTGTTTTCGTATAAGTTTTTAAAAGATTAACATTATTTTTGTTTTAAAGAACAACGAAAAGAGAATGCGATAGACGCTTGTTACCGCTGTAAAATACCAGTTATTTTGAGACCACCTCTACTAGCGGGAGCACACGAGTTGCATCCCGTAAAAAACGTGTATACGAAATGCATCCCAAAAAATTCATGTATTTTAATTAAGAATTCTTAAACAACTAACAAAAATAAATGAATAATAATAATAATTTTAATAATCAAAATGTCAGTCAAAAATCAGGGGTATACTTATTAGATAATGTAACCTTGTTATTTTATTTTCATTTAGTTTTTTTATCTGATTTTCAACAAATAAAATGTTGTTTCGGCGTTGTTTTCTATATTGACGTTTAGAAATTAGCAAGCTTCTAACTAAAATTACAGTATCGGTTTGAATTATCTTTAAAACATCTAATAATGTATAAATATTTGGATGGGAACTATTAAAAAAACTATTACATTTTTTGTGAAAAGACTCACATGCGTTTCAATTTCGCTGTAAAATCGAACTTTTTTCTGCCCATATTGATAGAGAGAATAGTGATTTTTCTGAAATATAGTTGTTAACTAAATAGTCAACAAAATCTACAACTTTATAATCAACCGGTTATATTTCTGATAGTTCAAATAAAAAAAAAATCACCAACTTCATCTGGACTCAAAAACGATAATTCAAAAATATACGATAGATAGTTGATGATGACGTGATAGTATCACAATTATGATAAACAAACTTGCTATCCATTATCGTAATTTATATTACTATTGAAATATAATATTAGAGCCCAGCAGTGGTGTATATAGGGGGAGGGGTGCCCCTTAGGTCCGGGCCCATATTGAAATTTCAGATTCAATTAAAACATTTTTATGCATATTGCTAAATTATATAATTATATATTTATACCGTATGATACCGTTGTCTGTACCTACTACTCGTTGTTGTTCTATGCTAGTATGTTGTTTTTAAGGTATAAAATTCACGTTACTGACTGATACCATGGTCTATGATTGCAATGACTAATCAAAATACGAATAAACTATGAAAGAACACGACAAATAAAGCTATGTATTTACATCATAGACTAGATATCTTAGCAATCCTAATCCGTAGTTCACGTAGTACCTTGATAGCGCATTCTATTTTTAGAAATGGATTTCTATTTACTATTGTAATTACATTGTTGTAAGATGTTATCAATTTATCACGGATTGCTAGGAATTGTTTCGTCGATTGTCGATATTTGATTGTCTTAGGACGATCGCACACCAAAAGAGCAAACCTGCGTTAAACAGTGTTAATTGTTTTCGTGTTAGTCAACTAAAAACAATTTGTTTTTATAAGGTGTACACTACCTAGACAAAACACCATTAGACAAAACAAAAATCAGTTTTCATCATGTCATCTGATGAAGTTGTTGCGATTTGTATGTGGTAGGTACACATAACAAAATTAAGAACAGAATTATAAAAAAGAAAAAATTATGGATTCATCCGTTAAATAAAAACTTGGTCCTTATCTCCGAAATCATAAATGGATGGTCTTATTCTCACTTAACTTACTAGTCTTTTCCCAACACAAGCCATATAAATGTATAAAAAATATTATTAAAAATATATGCGAAACTAGCTGAATAACACGGCTTCGCTCGTGTGTAGTTATTGCTTTCTCTAAATAAAATTCTTAAATCAGATGTTTATTATTTACCTTCTTTATTTTTTACGTCCCCTAGCAAAATTCCTTAAATAAACGACGTGAATTTTCAAACGAAAATAATAACACGTAGGTTGTATAGTTAGAGTTAGTTTTATAATAATTAATAACCGACCCCTGTGCGCTTCGCAGCACCAAAACAAAAATGCAATAAAAATCATATAATTTTTCCTAGAATATCATTTATTTTTAACCAAATTCTTTATTATCAATTCAACACATTTAGGTAAACAATATTTTTTGTTTGTCAATTTGGGGTGTACACAAATAAAAAAATTATAGTGCCAACTCTTGAACAGGCCACGTATAGTTTCCCGTATAGTTGCCCGTGCAAAAAACGCGAGCAACTACTTCAATTCAAATCGCATAGTTGTAGTGTTTGTCTTTGTACCTTATTAATGGACATTGCGAATGATAAGCGCACGCGGAATTGCAATCGTTTGAATTCAAATGGAATGTCTGTTGGCATCAGAGGAATACGTGGAATGAGTATAACTTCCCCCTTCGCTTTGCCATTCAATATTGTGGCTTCGATTAAATTCGGCATCAATCTTGTTGCAGCTAATCTTGTGCCGTTGCACAGTTTTGGTGCATTCAAATTCCGCAGTAAAATAATTGATGAGCCGACCTTCAAATTCAAGCAATGTGGTGGCATACCGGGAGGTTCCAATGAATTCAAAAATTCAACTGGATAGTTGACTGCATCATCTTCATTCAATGCGCTATCAATTGATTTGTATGATGTTACTACACCAGGCAATTTTTCTTATATGAGATAATTGATAACATTGACATGCACATTTTTTGGTGCCGGAATTACAGGAGCGTCTAAACACAGGAATGCACCTTAAGCATTCTGCGTATGCACGTAATTTATTCACCGCTATCATAATGCTAGACTGTTACATAGAGTTACTCTATGGGCTGTTATCAATACATCATATCAAATCACTATAATACAATAATAATATGAGTTATGAATCAAACTATTCAAAATTTAACTACATACTTCCTATGTAAATAATATATTGTCATTTTTTTTTAGTTGTTTAATAATAATGTTCAGTTTCGTTATAATTATTTTGTAGAAGTATATTATTGAGATGTTTAGTTTCAACTCTAGTATAATGTATTATGTATACATTCTATTTTTTAATACGTATTTTATAGTTATTACGTATTTACAATTATAACCATAAAAAAATTAATAGAAGTAATATGAACCATATGCGAATCGCAAAATCTTGAACAGAAAAAGTTGCGAAACAGCATTAGCAACCAAATGTATCCAGCCATTCAGTATATACGCTCCGCTAATATTTATTACTATCATTTACTTTGTCTATGTTGATGTTAAATTAAAAAGTGTTAAATAAAATATCAGTAATACCGTAATAAGAATTCTTGATTAAGTTATTAATCTAACTCCTAAAATCTTTATATCCTAATATTGTGTAACCGTGTTGAACTCACAACTCGGTACACTACACTAGTTGGTTTTGATAATTTATACTATTACTATTAAAATAATGTCATTTACATAGATATTAGATAATATTGAATTTTTATGTTTAAGATGTTTGTGAATAGTATTGTTAATACTCAATAAAACATTTAGTAAATAGCCTTTGTGTAATAAATTTGGTAAAGTCTGGTTTATGAAATGTTCAAATAGGTAATTGGGTAAATGTAGATATAAATAAACATTATTAAAAGCCATCTCAACATATTAGATAGTTATTGCTGTTTTGATTTTTTTTAAATGTATCTGGTATGTATAATGATTTAGTTACTGAAATGGTTGAAGCACAAAAAAAATGTAAAATACGTATGTAGTATGTTCAAATTTTGAATAGTTTGATTCAAAACTCATATTATTATCGTATTATAGTGATTAGATATAATATATTAATAACATCATAACATTATGATAGTGATGAATAAATTACGTGCATGCGCAGATGCATAAGGTGCATTCCTGTGTTTAGACGCTCCTTAGAATTGCGTGTTCACTCAACCAATTGTGTTTCCTGTGATTCTGGATAATACTCGGAAACACTCGTTCAATAAATTCTTCTTTTGATTGGAAAATTGTACAAAAATTGTTTGGTAAACTAATTAAACCGTTTATGTTATCAATTTGAACTTTGTCATTTCCGATTTCTAACAATTGCTTCGAAAACCAATAGATGTAGATCATCTGTAGATTGATTATTGTGCAACTGAATACGCATGTTTATGTTTAGCGTCAATTTTCACACATATCTCCGCAGAAAAGAAGACTTTAGGCACGCATTGATCTTATCTGCCGGTGTTGAGCGACGAATTACTGGCATTGTTTGTCTAAAATCACCTGACAATAATATCAATGCACCACCAAAAATTTTTTGGTTGTCACGTAGATTTTGCATTGTAAGGTGTATTGCTTTAAGTGAATTTTTATGCGTCATCGTACATTCATCCAATAAAATAATTGCTGTTTGATGCAAAAATTTCGCCGTCGTAGAATTTCTTGATATATTTCCCATTGGATTTTCAATCACCTACATTAAAAATAATTACATCTCAACTAATGCAAATGCATTTCAAGCCAATCGATCAATAAATACAAAGAAACCTGCACATTTAACAGTAATTTTAATGCTGTTCATCCACCATCCAACAAAGTAGGACTAACAACTATTCCAAATGAAGCAAGTGCCAATGCAATTTTCCCTTACGCTCAAATGTTTACCAAAACGAATGATATTACAAATGTTTTACTCGTACCACCGAGCGCATCCAAAAAGTACAATCCGCCTGCTTCATTTTGTACAGCTTGCATGATGGTATCGTACACATTTTTGTATATGACGTTGATGATGTTCAAAAAATCAATGAGTGCAGTGGATCGGGTGGATATTCGAATACTGGCAATTTCACTTTGCCTTTAGCACATCACATGCCAGCCGTTTCACCTGGAAATTTGGATTCGTACAATATAGACATCTCACCGTCATTCCACCAACAAGACCATATTTACTGTAATCCATTTCACTGTCGTAATAAAATGCAGCAAATTCCATGGCTTGTGCACGACGCGAAATTCGTGACGTTTGTCTTGATGCTGGATTTGTTGACGGACCTGCAGATGGAGTTCGACGTGCGTTTCGTACTTGTTGAACAACATTTTATTGTAATTGCGCCTCTTCACTTTGAGATCTATTATGAGACTATTGGGACTGTTTATTAGACAAATTATATAGACATTCCAATGTATACGGGAATAATTTTTTTTTTTTTTCATTAATTAAGAACTTCCAGTATAAACGATTATAAAATTCGACAGTTAAAATATTGATAGATAACGTGATACAATAGTTGAATTGGTAATTAAATATAATGAGCATAATGATTTAATAATAAATATGAATATAATATAAGATAAGAAGTAAACAGAACGGAATATTAGTGTATTTAATAACAAAGTAATATTAAAAGTAAATGCCCTAATTAATTAATTATTAATATAGCAGAAAGAAAAAAATTTATTATGGATGTTAAATCAGATAGGAATTTTCAAAGAGTTAAATATAAATTTGAGTTTTGCGGATCAATGTTCAGTTTTGAACCAGAAGTAGCAGTAGCATATGACGGGATTGATTTAGAGGCATCAATGGGGAGGGACTCGGAGAATAAGTTTTTTGTGTGTGTGATATTTTTTTTGGAGTTGGAAAATTTAATTTTGTGGCGATTTAGAATAGTTTGGTAGAACTTGCACCCCTTGAAGCTGGCCATATGATTTTCGGAACAGTGGATGCATTTAGCTGGACTGGAGTGATCCTTGGTGCAGCTATCTGACTCATGAGCCTTGCTGCATTTGACGCAACGCGATGGATGGTGGCAATAATTTTGCGTGTGACCATAGTCTTGACAATTGAAACATTGCGGCGGACCGTAGGTCCTTTTGTTCGGTTTTTCAATCACTACTTTCGTGCTTAGTAATGAAGTGATGTTGTAGATATGTTTATTATTAACATTGGGTTCGATGTCGGCAAAAAATATTGGGAGAAGAATATTTTTTTTACATTATGGACATTCCTCACTAGGTGTCCTTCTTCCGACAAAGCGGATGTCGGTACTGAGAATGGAATGATGGAGGTTTCTGATAACGATCCTGAGTAAACGCTGACAATGAGGACCAAAACTATGAAAACTGGCGTTAGTTTTTATTAAATAATTTGATAATAAGTTGAAATTAACGCGACCGTTGGGACGGACGATAAGGTACGAAGGAGTGGACTTACTGTAAACCCATTAGGGCTGACAGTCTTAATTAATACATCCTTTAATGCGAAAAAGTTATTGATGTTCCTAATGTAGATAGGTGGAGCCGCAGGCTCTGCCTGGTCAAAAGGGAGAGATGAAGGTACAGTGAATTTGCAGGAAGGTGGAACCGCATCGAATACAGTGTCATCGTTAGTGTCAATTGAGGCGAGAACAGCGAAACGGTTTGGCGAGGATAAAGTTTTGATCTTTTTCCCCTCATGAAGAGGAGAATTTTTAAAAGTACTGGATAATACTCTTTTTGATAACGTAGGCGTATGAGGTGGACTTTTACCGGAACGAATCACCATATGATATATGTTGAAAACGAAAACGCAATTTACGTAATTAAAATACTGAGCGAGCCTAAGAGCGTGTGTTCACAATGAACGTTATCGCCAGACTGGAATAAAATAAAATTTTAAACCTAAGTATTTTATTTTGTAAATATGTGATAAATATACAAAGAAAAAAAAACAAATGACAAGTTAAAATTTAAAATTCCTATATGAAAAATCACCTGAGTAAAAATTTAAATTATTTTTGTTGGTGTATATTTTGACAGATAACAATACAGTTTGTGGAAATTAAATTTGTACCGACTACATCATCATATTTCACAAATTACTACTATTTTGAATCATTAATCATCATTAATAACCACCAACCATTACCATTTACGCTATATAATCACACAGAAGATTAGATACAGCGTTTTGTTTGGTTGATTTTGTTACACAGCAAAACTGGTTACTTTGAATCATACTATTCTAGATAGAATTTTCACTGATAAATCACTAGAATTTATTGAAGCAATTAAAATATTATTAAGTCTACACCTACTTAAAAAATAATTGCACTATTTAGTTCCTAATTATGATCAATTGTGACCAATCTTAATTTTAGCTCCACACATGTATTAAATATTTATGTATATATTTTACCGTAATGTTGTAAATTAGTTAATAACGTAAATGTCTAGCCAATATTATAAATTCCTAACATTATTAGTCGATATTGTCAATGCCTAGGCATTAACAGACAATATAGGCAAGGTTGTAAAATTCAAATATTTTGTAGACACATTTAAAACTATGACTAGGAACTTATCTTAATGTCTAATACTGATAGGCAATGTTGATAATTATGTTTAACGAAATATTTAAAATAAGTCAGTAATTTATAAATATAAGATAAATTATACATGATTATTTACTCTCGCAATTTGTTGTACTGTGACACTTTGAATTGCATAAAACATTACTTTTTTTACAAGCACATCTACTAGTTTTGCATCCTGCTTTACAAATACATCAAGTATAGCCTTGTGATCCCACGATTCCGTATCCAGCAGCCTCACGAACGGTAATTTATTTTACTCCGACAGTCGCGATTGTCTTTTCATAGTTTAATATATTTTCAGGACACGGAACCAGTTGTGATCTAGTGAACCAATTTTTTAGCATACCATACTCCATACCTACATAGTAATTTATTTTAATATTGTTATTAATTTATTTTAACAATTAATTTTTATTGTACTTACATAATTTATACATATCAGCTTCGTATACAACAATGACCACCAAAAGATTAAGGGGTGATCCACGTGCTCTATCCACGTCGGGTATAGGTACTCTTACAATAGTTCCTAATTGAAGTTCTGTCAACTTAGCATTAGAATATTTCATCATTTTTTGTGCCTGCCTTTGAATAGATACTAGATACATGTTATCGCTATATTTTACTTAATAGGTACCTAATGTACGACCATCGACATATTATAGCTGTACGTACTGACGCAAGAACATTTTTAATCCAACCAACAAATAAATGATTTTATATTTTTATCATTTATGCCTGAAAAAGCCCGGAGTTATCGTCATTACCTAGGAAATATTTCTAATGCATCATTGACTGATAATAACAGACATTAACGATATTTCCTAGTCAATATCGTTTACTGCTTAATTTGATCGGAAATATGGTTATTGACTATTCATTAACATTAATTCCTTAATTTACATCATTGACGGTAACATATACATTTTGTAGAATAGTTTCAATAATTTCAAAAGAAAACAGCTAAAAAGTGTGTCTTTATACAACATTAACTAAAAATTATTTAACAGTGTAGTAAATTATTATTATTAAAATGAGAAATACAAGAACTTACAAACGTCCAAATATTTGCTTATTCAACGTATTAAAAAGCGCATAACTGCCATACTGTAACGTTAAATAAACAGAGGGGCTTAAATAAAAAACGTAAGCCTATAAATAATTTGAAAATACATTTAAAATAATTGAGGAGAGAAATAAAAAATATTTCACTATATCAATAAATGGTAGTTAATAATTTTGTACTTAGTATAATTGTTACGGATGCAAATGATATGTTCCTAATTTTTTCAAGTTACAATTGGGTTAATGTCAAAGGTAAAACAACTGCTAAAGTAAATAAAGTTTTCAAAGAATTGTATAATTTAAGATTGACCTCGAATACAAATAAAAGTGAATTTGCCGCATTCTCTATAAATAAAGCTAATTTACCGTTTGACAATATTACTAAATATGATTGTGATACTTAACGTATAATTTTAAATTATTGTATTTGCTAAAAAGTAAAGAGAGTTACTAGACTAAAATAGTTAGGTATAACTGGAATTAATTAATTGAATGGAATGTACGTTGAAATATACATATTATATATACATAATTATTTTTAAAATGTACAAAATAAATAACATTCTACCTAAAGAAATTATGTGCAGTTTATACAATGCTTTGTGTAAATCAGTATTTCAATACGACATATATAACATGGGAAGGTTGTGCAGATTTTGCAATATGACCTCTGGAAATACAACAAAATCAAGAGGTAAGAATTTGTCTAAACAAAAATGATCAAAAAGACTACTTTTAATTATAAGACTCTAAAAATCTAACCAGTCAGGTAACTACAAGTCATTAGCCATACGAAATGGTAAATTTATGTTGTTAAATGCATCGCAAAAAAATAGTTTTAATCATACCAATAAGCGTGGAAATAGAGCTTGTGATATCCGATTTGACTACACAAAAAAAAAATATAGGTAAACATCTTATGGACTATTTAGGTCCGTCTAATTTTAATGAAATGCTATTGTATTTAAAAAGAATATGTATTTTATAATGTTGATAAAATGTTTAAATATATAAGCAATACAAATTCTATTGTAAGCTACTTATTAGGTGAACTCTAGTTTTAGGTCTTTATAACAAATTATAAAAAAATATGCACGTAGTAGTTAAGAAATTTAAATTAGAAGTTATAATATTAAGGAACTTGTATAACTCATTTATCCCATCACAAGCTTAGATTTAAGGGTTAAATTAATTTTGTGTACATTTTCATAAAAAACTAAAGAGTAATCATAGACTACCACCATTAAGCAACCATTGGAAATGATTTTTCTAAAACACTGTAGAAAGTCTCAAATTCTATGTAGAAAGATAATTACTGCAAGTAGTTGCAATGACCGATAAATTGTTTTAAGTACTTTTTATTTTTATTATAATTTTATTTCTTTGAATTTAATGACAATCCTACTATAGTAATATTAAAATAGTTTTATGCATTAAACTAAACTTTAAAATTTTAATATTTGATGTTCAATAAATGTTTAGAATGTAATAATATCTATGTTATAAATTATATGATTTCATATTTATCGATTCCAATATCATTAAGTTACAGTTCTTAAGTTAAATAAATTAA